TATAAATCTTGTGTCTTCTTTCTTTCTCGTTATTTACTGCTTTCATAACCAAGAACACCAACCAGTAAAATTTCAAGATTCATATAAAACCGAAAAAGTTCTAAAGTCCTAATTCACCCCCCCCCCCCCCCCCCCCCTCTTAGGCAGACTCTGTACTTACACCATACACAATCCCTAAAACATAATGACAAATGATTCTCCAATCTTAAAATCAAACAAAGATGCTCCAAACCAAAAAAGATATGTTGGTCCAAAATTGACAGCAAAACTATCAATATTTCAAGACAGCCCTAATGACTAAACTTATGTTTCTCATGCTCAAACAGTTCAAATAGGCAAGTAAGCTTTCATAAACATTAACCAATGATTTGAGATACAAAAATAGGCAAGTAAGCTTTCATAAACGTCTCTATTGGTAGCCTGTTTTTGTCACATTGTGTTATGGAAACGGCTTGGACGTGTTTGAAATGTTTATGCGTGGCACAGATGAATGGTTTTGTGTTTTTGCTAACGTATTGGAATTATTTTGTGCCAGGTTGTTGCTTGTGGTGTGAGCCGTTGTGCAACAGTTTAGTGAAGAAAATAAGGTTTGTGTATCATGTGTGGGATAGCTGGTATTATGAATTTTTCATGGTGATAAGTGTTTTGGTGTAGAAATTGGTTTTGGAAAATATCAGGACTTCACTTTTGGAAATTGAGCAAATTGTTATCCCTAAAATGCCATATAAATAGTGTGGCAAGTTAAATGCTTTTGGTGTCTATATATAAAACAATTTACATTTTTTAATACTGCCATCTGCAGTAGCACTGCTGGCAAATAAAACATTTTCTGGAATTCTAGTTCGACTCCCGGCTACCGAATAATTTTTTTATTGAACATAAATCATGAATAATCCAATGGTTATGTTTTTGTTGGAAGTGTTACATGCATAAAAACAATGGTAGTGCCAAAGTTGAACTCATTTTGCAACCAAAAATGTCTTACATGCAAATATCTCAGAAGTTCTACGACGCATTTAAGCATTGTAGCTTCTTCAGCAAATCTCCACACATTGCTCGCAAGCTTCATGCTTAACTCATACTCTCCGGTTTAGACTCTTCCCTTTTCTTACTCAACAATCTACTTCACATGTACTCCAACTGTGGCTTAACACACGATGCTTTTCAAGTTTTTCAAGAGACCAATCATCGTAATATCTTTACTTGGAACACAATGATTCGTGCTTTTGTTAATTTTGGTCGAATTAATGAAGCAGATAAACTGTTTAATGAAATGCCTGTGAGAGTTAAAGACTCTGTTTCTTGGACGACTATGATATCGGGTTATATTCAAAATGGTTTTCATGAACGTGGTGTTGAGACTTTTAATTTAATGCGTAGGGACTCGAATGGTCGAGATCAATGTTACGATCCCTTTTTGTTTACTAGTGTAATGAAAGCTTGTGGTTTACTTGGAGACTCTCGATTGGCTCTTCAGTTACATGGTTTGGTCATTAAATTTGGTTTTGGAATGGAAACTTGCATTCAGAACTCGCTTGTTTGTATGTATGTTAAGTGTGGAGATGTTGGTTTGGCAGAGACGGTTTTCTTTGACATTGAAAGACCAAGTTTGTTTTGTTGGAACAGTATGATTTATGGTTATTCTCAATTGTATGGACCTTATAAGGCTCTACAGATATTCAACCGAATGCCTGAACGTGATGAGGTTTCTTGGAATTCGCTGATCTCGATTTTCTCTCAACACGGTTTTGGGGTTGATTGTCTTGCCATGTTTGTAGAGATGTGTAATCAGGGTTTTAGTCTGAATTTCATGAGTTATGGAAGTGTACTTAGTGCTTGTGCCAGCATTTCTGATTTGAAATGGGGTGCTCATTTGCATGCTAGGATTCTTCGCATGGAAGATAGTTTGGATTTGGTTTTGGGTAATGGTCTTATAGATATGTATGCTAAATGTGGATGCTTAGGATTGGCTAAGCGTGTGTTTAACAGTTTAAAGGATCGCAATCATGTTTCTTGGAATTCTTTGATCACTGGTGTGGCACAATTCGGCCTTGATGAAGATGCTTTGATATTGTTTAACCACATGAGACAAAGTTCTGTGGTGTTGAATGAATTTATTCTTCCTACCGTTCTTGGGGTTTGTTCGGGTCAAAATTATGCTGCAACAGGAGAATTACTCCACGGATATACAATCAAAAGTGGGATGGATTCCTCTGGTCCTGTAGGGAATGCAGTCATAACAATGTATGCAAAATGTGGAGATACCGACAAAGCTAATCTTGTGTTTAGACTAATTCCACTTAGAAACACCATATCGTGGACCGCCATGATCACAACATTCTCTCGGAGTGGAGACATTGGCAAAGCCCAAGAATATTTTGATATGATGCCTGAGAGGAACATCGTTACTTGGAACTCCATGTTAAGCACATATGTTCAGAATGGCTTATCTGAAGAAGGTCTCAAGCTGTATGTTTTGATGAGGAGCAATAGAGTCCAGCCAGATTGGATCACTTTTACAACTTCAATCCGGGCCTGTGCAGACTTAGCTATAGTTAAACTTGGGATGCAAGTTGTTACTCATGCTATAAAGTTTGGACTCAGTTCGAACATTTCAGTTGCAAATAATATCATTACTATGTATTCAAGATGTGGACAAATTGAAGAAGCCAAGAATACTTTCAACTCAATAGGTACCAAAGACCTGATTTCCTGGAATGTTATGCTTGCAGCATTTGCTCAAAACGGTTTAGGTAGGAAAGTGATTGAAACTTTCGAGGATATGTTAAAGTCGAAATGTAAACCCAATCATATAAGTTATGTTTCTGTTTTATCTGGTTGCAGCCACATGGGGCTAGTAGTTGAAGGGAAACATTACTTTGATTCCATGACTCTAGTTTTCGGCATTTCTCCTACAAATGAGCACTTTGCTTGCATGGTAGATCTGCTTGGACGAGCAGAGTTACTAGAGCAGGCAAAGAATTTGATAGAAGGAATGCCTTTTAAGCCAAATGCAACCGTTTGGAGCGCTCTACTAGGAGCATGCCGAATCCATCATGATCTGAGACTAGCAGAAACTGCTGCAAAAAATTTGATGGAATTAGATGTTGAGGATTCTGGAGGTTATGTTCTTCTAGCAAATATATATGGAGAATCTGGAGAGTTAGAAAATGTCGCCGATATGAGGAAACTTATAAAAGCCAAAGGAATTCGAAAGAGTCCTAGTTGTAGCTGGATAGAGGTTGATAACAAAGTAAATGTTTTCACCGTAGATGAAACCAGTCATCCACAGATAAAGGAAGTTCATATGAAACTGGAGGAGATGATGAAGAAGATAGAAGATACCGGAAAATATATTAGTGTAGACTCTTCTGTTCATAGGAGTTCGTAAGTATCACAGTGAAAAGCTGGCTTTTGCTTTTGGGTTGCTTAATCTTCCATTTTGGATGCCAATACGTGTAATGAAGAATCTTCGTGTTTGTCATTTGGTAATAAAGCTTCTGTCTTTAGTCACCTCAAGGGAACTTATCATGAGAGATGGATATAGATTTCATCATTTTAAAGATGGGTTTTGCTCCTGTAAGGACTATTGGTAATTTGTGGTATATATTTAATATCTACTTTCTCTCCCATTGCTTTTTCGTTATCATTTTCTATTCCTCTTTCCATACCAGAAGTTGGCAATCATTATGCGAAGAGAAAAAATAATTTTCTAGACCAAAATTGATAGACATAACAAGAGATGCAACAAACCAATACAGCAACTAGAAGAACTAACACCAAACAATTACACACATAATGATCCAAAGCAAACAAAAATCTCCCAACTAACTTATACCATAATAACTTCAATCATGCAAAATAGCAAAATGAAAAATAAAAACAAACCCAATATATTCCTACTGAGTCAAGAACCTGCTGCCCAAACACTGCATAGAACTCCTAGAACTAGATCAACCGAAAACACCAAAATCCAACAAATGAACGGAGAAGGCGGAAAGCAGACACAGATGAGAAGAGAACTCCAAAACGCTAAATCAAAAAACTTGATGCTGATACTACAGCAGTATTTACTGCTGCTACCTTCAAAAAATCCACTGTCAAAACGATCAAAGAGATACAAATAGACTGCAACAAGCCAACACAGCAATAACCAGTGACACGCCAACACGCTGAAAGCTACCAAGCAGGCCACAAAATCCCACCGAAAACATAGAAACCAACAGCTATTGCAAGCAGAACAGAGAAAAAAAGCCAAAAAAATCACCAAACAATCTGACTGATTCAAAAACCAGCTGCTCACAAACTAAGCAAAGCACGCCAAAGAGAGACTTGTTAGGTAAAGAAGTGAATGCTATAAAAGAAGAAAGTATCTAGGAGGCAAAAACCATACGATTCATTCTACTCATAAACACTCTTTTACCTTAGAGCTGCTTCCTATTATTTTCAGAGCTTCTCTTAAGAATCACCGCAGGATATCTCACATTGCATATTATGTTGTTGAACAATATCTTAATGTTCTCCGATTCAAAGAAAAACAGGTATGGACTTAGATTGTGACAGTCTAATTCTCTCATGCTTTATACACAAGGCTGACAAACATTAAGAAGCTCCGAGCCCTGAGTTGTGTACATATATTTTTCATCAAGTGGGGGAAAAATCCCATCATGCTGTTATTTCATCCATTTTTCTATATCTGATACTGAACATTGTTTTGTGATTAATAATAACATTGGTAATCAATATTAGAAGTTTCCTACGCTTATAAAAACTGCCATACAAGAAAATATACCTGTGGTATCTACTACTACTACCATACAATAAGAAAACACCTCTCACAGACCAGCTTTTGTTGCGACGTGGAATTGCTCACAATAGAGCAGCATACATATGTATAACATTATTTCTCTGGAAAATCTGATCAACCAGCCTCTCTGGGATGAAGAATCTGATCAACCAGCCTCTCTGGGATGAAGAATCTGATCAACCAGCATAATTTATCACGCTAACTTTCCACTGTCTTTGGGGTGAAGAATCTGATTAACCAGTTTCTCTGGAAGCTTTTTAGTAGCCTGTACAAGTACCAAAAGGTTAATTTAAAGTGCATGGTTTTCAGTTCATATCAAAAGTATACAAAAATGTATACCAAGAAACTAACCTGAAAGTTCCTCATATGCAAAATTGGTTCACATCCTACGTCTGCCACTGATTGACCGTTTGGAGTTTGCAACTTGAACCGCTCTGCTTTGTATGCAGATAACGTAGTTTCTTTGTCGGGTAGGTGATGGCAAACTGTCAGGAGTGAGCTAAGAGAATTCATCTGAAAGGTTAAAGAAACAATCAGATAACAACTAGTCCAAATATTAAAAAAAAAAAAGTCACTATTGACCAATCTTGATCAGAAAAAGGATAGAATCGAAGAGTACAACACATCTTATCAAGAACCTATGGTGTACAAAATACAGATCCTACCTTCATGTAAGGACAAGATGCGCAACCACCGTGAATGGAACAACCCTCCCCGCTAGTTACTCCTGGTACAACAGGAGGTATGATATCACTGACTTCAACTGAATTTAGACTAGAAGTTGTTTTCGAGATTGAGTCTGATGAAACTGGAAACACTATTTCAACAGTAACTTTTGCCCCATGAGAAGAGGATTTTGCAGGCTCTAACAGACTTCGAACTGCTGCCACAATTGCAGTAACCATCCCAGATTCTGTTCCTAAAACAAATTGGAGATGGTCATCAATGTTTCTATCCAAAGATTCTTGAACCCTGTCCTTTATGAAATCCAATATATTCTGAGTGGACCCTACTACTCCCATTCCTCTTCTTTTTGCTTCCATTGCCAATGAAAACATCTCTCCAGGTACCTCAAGATGGGCAGTAAGGAATGCATCACAATACATTTCTTTTATCGTATCCACAACTTCATGGCCAAATAGATGATGAACAATGCATGATCCATCCTGACACCAAAAGGCAAGAGCATATAATCATGACATGTACAATATTGTGAAGCTAATTCTTGAAACACTGAATAAAATCATTTTCATGTAGAAAAAAATAACAGGAAAAAACGGATTCACGCCAAGCCACCTTCCGAAAATGGTGAATGCGAAAATAACACATTAATGCAGCACATCTGATTGCAAATAAAGTGATTCTTCCATAAAATTTTAAAATATCCTAAAGATCTTACCTGATAAAAGTAAAGACGTGGTAGCAATGATTTAATAGAGTCTACATTGTGCTCAGGATGTATCGCAGCAATCTCTTCATCGGTCATTACTGTCATCTGTTGGAACAATTCTACAATATTTGCACCCATGTAAGAATCAGGCCCGTAATATATGCTCAAATCTGGCACTTGGGCAAATGCCTGCATAAGAGATAAACATACTAGTTTTTAAGAAAAGCTCTAAACTAGAATTGTTGTGGTCATTACTCGACATACTCATATGATCAATACAACAACAAAGAGGAATAGGCAACAGTTTGCATAAGACTGACCTGTAAAATAGTCTGGATAACATTTGATGAAGTACAGGTTATCGTAGGCACAAGCTCATGAGCATATGCCTTTGTCTCTAACTTAGTGTTAATATATATGACATGCAAAGAAGTAGACCTAGAAGCTGGCTCAAGATACTCCATATAAGTAGAGGTAGCTGCAGCATCAGCCAGTGAACAACCAATACGCTCATTTGACATTCTATAAACATCAACCTACAAATAGTCAATCAGAAGAAAATTAAGGACTAAGGATTAACAAGTAGCACTGATACTGATTTTTTCTAATCTAAATACTGCAGTGCATATTACATAACGTACCTCATTGAAACCGGCTTGATCAAGGATGGCGCGCACATTTTCCGACATAAAGTCCACACCTAGCACTGTTATGAATTTGCATCCAGCTTTTGCCATTTTGACTGCTGAATCTGCCATGACCAGTGAATCAGATATATGAATATGAGGCCACTGTTTCTGAGCAGCAGTTAAAATGCCTTGGACTTCAGGATCCATGTAAAAATGTGCAACTACACCAATTTTCTTATCCTTCAGCACATTGACTAGTTCATCAACTTTTAACTTCTTAGGGAACAGATATTTTGCCTGCAGGAAAGCTAGACAAAAATTAGAAGTTTAACGTTTTCAGGTCAAGATTCAACGAAATTATGGCATTTGTTGCATGTCCATGATCCATTCATAATGGTGCGACCTAACTTTTCTTTTGAAAGTAGAAAAGCTACTTGTATAGATAAAGCAATCAAGAAACACATGTATTTTTCTACAGAAAAATGGAATTCCCAAAGAATTACTTAAAATCCCAATTTGTGTGAACAGTAGAATGTGATACTACTCTTTGCAACTTAACACTATCAATTTCTTGATCATCATTGATCAGTACGGGATCTTTATCTTTTGTGCGCAAGTCTAGGAAAATGAACTCCATAAACTATCTTAAAATTTTTGTGTACAAAATCAGACTAATAAGTTGATTATTCTCCACTACCTATAAATACATTCTTCAGTCTATATCTCATGCAATAAAAAAATTATTCTGAATACACTCCTCGCATTCAGAGTTGAACATCTTTAGAATGATCCGAGTGGCCAATGGCAAATGACCCAACACATTTTGAATAGGCTCAGATTATGATAAAATCTTGTAGAATAGAGAGAATAGAAAGAATGATGTAAACTCTCATTATATTGAAATTCCCATTTAATACAAGAGAGTGCTCTCTATATATATTGAGAGAGAGTAGTAACTAACTCTGTTATAACAGTAGTAACTAACTCTGTTATAACAACCTAACTAACTCTGTTATAACAATATAAATTGCTACTCTATTAGTCCCCCTTAGAAACTGCCGGTTGGTCTGCGAGATCAGTCTTGTGTAGCACACGCAGCTTGGTACGCAGAGGAACAAACTTAGCAGCAGACAAAGGTTTAGTTAGTATGTCAGCCCATTGGTCTTGAGCTGGAACATGAGCAACAGATAGGTGCTTGCTGAGGACTTTCTCTCGCAAAAAGAAAATGTCAAGTTCCATATGCTTAGTCCGGTTGTGGAGAACAGGATTGTGGGCAAGGGTGACAGTGCTCAAGTTGTCACACAGAATTCTAGGAACCTGAGATGGACAGTTAAGTTCTTTGAGTAAGGATTGAATCCAAATAAGCTCAGCAGCCAACTGAGTCATGCTACGATACTCTGCTTCAGCACTGGATCTAGCAACAAGTTGCTGCTTCTTTGACCACCATGACATAACATTAGGACCAAGATAGATACAGGCCCCAGAGGTGGACCTCCTATCATCAGGGTCTGATGCCCAATCAACATCACAGAACCCTAATAATTGCATAGGCTGCTGAACAGAAGCAGGTTGGATGAGCAAACCATGATGGAGAGTGCCACTTAGGTATCTTAGGATTCTCTTGACAGCCTTCCAATGGTCCTCTAAAGGGTTGGACAGAAACTGACAAACCTTGTTGACAGAAAACGAAATCTCAGGCCTAGTAAGAGTAGCATATTGTAGGGCACCAACAACAGATCTGAACTGGGTGGGATCTTCCACAGCAGCTGAGCCTACTTTGGACAGCTTGCTACTAGAAACCATGGGAGTAGGCATGCTATTAGCATTTACCATATTCAATTTAGACAGTAGGTCAGTGATATATTTGGTCTGAGATAAGAGCAGTGAGCCATTGGGAAGATGAGACACTTCAATGCCCAAGAAGTAATCAAGCTGTCCCAACTGTTTTAGTGAGAATCTGTCATTAAGCAGCTTGATTAAAGTTGTGATAAAAGAAACAGAATTGCCTGTGATGATTATATCATCTACATACACTAGAATCATAATCTGAAGCTTCCCTTGACTCAGCAGAAAGAGACTAGGATCACACCTGCTGGCCGTAAATCCAAGCTGAAATAGAGCATTCTTAAGTTTGTCAAACCAGGCCCTAGGAGCCTGTTTTAAACCATAAATCGCCCTATTTAATTTGCAAACCAGCGACTTGTCAGCTACTTCAAAGCCAGGAGGCTGCTGCATAAATACCTCCTCTTCAAGAGTGCCATTAAGGAAGGCATTGTTAACATCTATTTGCTGTATGGTCCACTTGTTACTGACAGCAATAGTTAACACAATTCTAACAGTAACTGGTTTGATGACTGGTGAGAAGGTCTCCTGAAAATCACTTCCAGCCTTTTGATGGAAGCCTTTAGCCACTAACCTGGCCTTGTACCTGCTAATGGATCCATCAGGATTTTCCTTAGTTCTGAAAACCCACTTACAGCCAATAGGATTCCTGCATTCAGTAGCTTTCACCAATGTCCAGGTCTGATTTCTCATCAGTGCCTGATATTCTTCTTTCATTGCCTGAAACCAATGAGGAGCAGCCAAGGCCTGAGCAACAGAAGTTGGTTCCATGTGGGTTAAATGAAGGGTAGGGTGATACCGCTTAGGAAGAGTGATACCGCTTTTAGCTCTAGTTTGCATAGGGTGCACATTTTGAGTGTGAACAAAAGGTACAGTAGGATTGGGAAGAGGAGAACTAAGTATTAGGGGCAACTGAAAGTGAGAGATTTGGAGAGGATGAAGGTGATATGGTGCTGGACTCAGCTGGGTCAGTGTGAATAAAAGCTGGGGAATCAAATTGAGAGGGTGAGAAAGGGACAGCAGTGATAGGTTGTGGTATTGGGGAGGGAGACTGCTGCCTTGATGGAAGAGAAGACTGACTGGAGAAAGCAGAATGCGGCAAATTTGCAGGGACAGAACTGGGAGTGGGATTAGAACTAGCAGAAGAAGTAGAATTAGAGTGGGAAGGAGGTAATGAATGTGATGAAGGTGATGGAGAAGCTGAATGATTATCAGCAGTAGAGAAGGATATAGGAGGGACAGACTAGACACCAGAATTGGGACCAGAAAAAGACGATTGGGGGGAAGTGGGAAATAAGGTTGAGTAAGGAAAGAGAGACTCATGAAACACAACATCCTTAGAGATGTAGATGTGACCATCTGAAGCAAGACACTTATAACCCTTATGTGCTGTGGAATAGCCAAGAAAGATACATTGTTGAGACCTATAGGCAAGTTTATGAGTATTATAGGGGCGCAAAAAGGGATAACACGCACAGCCAAAGACTTTAAGATTAGAGTAATCCGGTGGTTTGTTGAGAAGCTTGAAGTAAGGGGAAAGATTGGAAAGGGTAGGGCTGGGAAGTCTATTGATGAGATAGGCAGCTGTGACAAAAGCATGATCCCAGAATTTTAAAGGTAGAGTGGATTGGGCAAGAAGAGTCAAACCAGTCTCAACAATATGCCTATGCTTGCGTTCAACAAGGCCATTTTGGTGGTGTGTATGGGGACAAGTAAGTCTATGAATGATACCTAACTCAGTGAGATACTTGGTGAGAGGCCTAAACTCTCCTCCCCCATCGGTTTGAACACATTTAATATGATAATTGAATTGTAGTTCCACCATTTTCTTAAACTGTATGAACTGAAGTAAGGTGTCAGATTTAAGCCTGAGAGGAAAGACCCAAACAAACCTAGAGTAGGCATCTACACAGGTGAGGAAATAGGTATAACCACTAGAAGACGTCATGGGAGCAGGTCCCCAAAGATCACAGACAACCAACTCAAAAGGATGAGTATAAACTGTGGTGGATAATGAGGAAGGTAACCTGTGAGATTTGCCAATACAGCAAGCTTGACACATTTCTGTAGGAGGCTTAGCAGGAATGGAAAGATGACACAGTTTGAAAACCTCAACAAGAGCATGGTGATTGGGATGGCCTAGTCTAGTATGCCAAAGAACATACTTATTACTGGCTATAGAATTTGGGCTATTAGAGTGTGAAGAAGACAAATTAGTACTAGCAGTAGCAGAATTTAGAAAAGAATTGGATGAAATACTAGTATTATTAATATTGAAAGAGTCATTACAATGTGGCATAAGATTGGACATACTGTGTGATACACAAGTTGAATTGTTACAATTGCTTGTGGCTGTGTTACAGTGTGTATTAATAGAGCTATTACTAGATGAACTATAGCTAGGACTAAGCGTATGAAGACTGGGCTTGAACTTTGACAGTTGAGAAGCAGCTGGATTGGGAAACTTGTAGAGACCATCAGCTCCAATAAGACCATGAAGTAACACTTCAGAAGAAGCCTGGGATTTGACAACACAGAACTTAGGGTGAAATTCAAAAAACACATTATTATCCTGAGCAAACTTGCTCACACTCATTAGGTTTTTGGTAATGTGAGGGACAAGTAAGAGATTGCTAAGTGTAAGGGATAGGTTAGGTTTGTGTGGTGGAGAAAAAGACATAGAACCAACAGAATTTATAGACAAACCTTGGCCATTCCCCATGAACACTTGTTCAGTATCAGGCAAAGAAGCAGAATCAGACACATTAGAGGCATCCAGAGTAACATGATGAGAAGCTCCTGAGTCTGGATACCACCACTGATTGTTGAAGATAGCTTCAGTACCTGCAAAGAAAGCTTGTGGTGCAGTGGATCTGGGAGTAACAGCTCTAGGAGAGGGATAAGCAAACTGCACAGGATACACAGCACGAGGAGCTACATGAAAAGGATTGAAAGAGGCTCTCTGCTGTGGATAACCAGCACCACTTGAATTGGAATAACGATAGTAGCAGACTGAAGCATCATGTCCAGACTTGTGACAAATCTGACACGACGTTTTGCCAAAACGTCCTCCACCGTGACCAAAACGACCGCCTCCACGGCCAGAGCGACCTCCTCTTGAACCATAAGAACGATTCTCAGCATTAACGGTCACGTGACTCGTTCCTTGAGGAAAGGTTACGTCAGAAACAAACTGATCAGTGGCGACCGGCGCAGAAGGTGGTGCTGCTTGAGTGAGATTTACCGTCGCCGGCTCCGTAACCACTGCTTTCCGGTGTTTCTCCAGACGCGACTCATGAGCTAGAAGAGACGACTCCAATTCATCTAGCGAATTCAATTCCTCCTTACTGTTAACGGCGGCGACAATGGAGTCATACTCCTCAGGAAGCGAATCAAGTACGATTTCAATTAGGTTACGAAGAGGAACAGGATGCCCAATCGAAACGAGAGATTCACTAATTTCACGTGTGCGAACCATGAGCTCCTCAATTGTCATCGTGCCTTTCTGAAGACGATGAAGCTCCGAGCGTAGTTGACGTGCTTTCGTGGAGAGAAGAGTGTTGAAATAACGGTGAACTTCCGTCCAAACTTGCCACGCGTGTTTACACTCGACAAGCTTTGGAAGCAGAGGATCGGAGATGGTGGAGAGAAGCCGGGTGCAAATCAGAGCATCCTGTTGCTCCCAATCAAGAAACGCACTGTGAGATGCAGGATCTGAAGGAGACGGCGGCGGAATGACCGGAACGGTAACAAACCGTTGAAGACGATGACCGCGAACAACGTCGTTGATCTCTTGCTTCCATTGTTTGAAATTTTTGTCGTCGAGTTTTACAGAGATAAGGTGAGAAAGCTTCACCTGAGAAGACGAAAATAGAGGCTCCATGGATCGAGAAAAAAAAGGAGAAAAAAAATTGCTCAAGATACCATGATAAAATCTTGTAGAATAGAGAGAATAGAAAGAATGATGTAAACTCTCATTATATTGAAATTCCCATTTAATACAAGAGAGTGCTCTCTATATATATTGAGAGAGTAGTAACTAACTCTGTTATAATAGTAGTAACTAACTCTGTTATAACAACCTAACTAACTCTGTTATAACAATATAAATTGCTACTCTATTAAATACTGTCATAAAAATTTTAAATTTGATCTTATTCAATCCTACAAAATCGAAATAAAAATGTGGACCACTCATGCAATACGTGACTTCTCAACAAACTAGAACTAAAAAACCACCGAATATGCTTTGGCTTTAGATAAGGTAGAACTTTCAATACAAAGCTTGTGAAGTAAAAGCGCTATGGATAATTTGCTAAGCATATCCAGTTATAAAGTAAGCATCTACAATTATAATAAAAACGGAAAATTCCCGTATCTCTAACATAATTTTTGAACACAGGAAAGTATTGTTAAAAGAAGCATCAAATTTTTGCAAGATGTAATGGAAAAGGACACCACTATTCTTTTACTTTTTGACCGTATCAAGAGATTCTATGTATAATGACACCCACAAACTAACGGACACGTCTCCTCCATTTGATTATCTAAATGGATTGTCAGAAAAACTACTCATTTTATTGTAATTTTTAATGTCAACACTAAGCATCGAATTCCTCCAACCCAACACTTCAAAAATAATTACTAAATAAAAAAAGATACTAAATAGGTCCTACCAATAACTCAATATAACAATATTAATTAATTTTATTAAATAGGGTCCACAAAATAGAGAAGATTCTTGCTTAAATAGAGATTTTGTGTTCTAACCCATTCCAATGCACGCGTCAATGTTAAATTTTTGAAAAAAAAACTTTGCTATTTATTGTTATTATTACCAATTTAAAAAATTAGTCTATTAACTAAAATGACAATCTCCTCTTTCTTTATCATGATTGTAAAAGCTTACTTTATCATGTATTAACGATATGCTTGCTTTGTCCTGTATTAACGATAACATTACAGGACAAAATTTAAACGCGTTTAAACACACGAAAGTATTGCTAAAAAAAGCATCAAATTCTTGCAAGATGTAGTAATAGAAAAGGACACCACTATTATTTCACTTTTTTTTGACAGTATCAAGAGATTCCATATATAATGACAACCACAAAAATAGTTACTAAATTAAAATATATATTAATTAGGTCCGACCAATAATCAAAATTATAGTCAACACATAATAATATTAATAATAATTGGAAACAAAATAGAATGAAAGGACAGTGCTAACCTGGGCTTCAGCATAACTACCCTTCGGAACAAAACCATCCGCAGTAATAATCAACGAAGGAAAAGGCTCAAACGGAACTTTCCCATCTCTCTCAGCAACTAACTGTTTCGTTTTTTTCTGCATAGTAACAAGAACGTTATGCCACGTGTTCGCCCTAGAACGACCGGTTCCCGGTAAACCGACATTGAGAGCTACCAAATCGTCAGTTGAAACTTTCAAAACCGCTTCCGGTTCAGACCCGTCAAGAACCCAAACCAAACACGCGCAGAAACCTTTCGTGATCTCGGAGTCACTGTCAGCCGTTAATCTCACCTTCCCTTCACCGTCGATCTTCACCTCAACCCAAACCCTCGCAGTGCAACCCATAACCCGGTTCGTGTCAACCCGAGATGTCTCTTCCATCGGCTGTATGAGTCCTGCGTAGTGTAAAAGTCGCTTCATCCGCTCCATTGGCTCAGGTAACAACTGAAACTCATCGGCTAGATGTCGGAGCTTGGAAGGAACGACGAGCTCCGCGGTTTTGGGAAAAGCGACGGCGGAGCAGGAAAGAGAGGTGTTGGAATGGATACATTTGAGAGATTTGAAAACAGGAAGGTTGGGTTGAAGGATGAAACGTTTTGGCTTAAGAACATGGTTTGGGTTGATTGAGACTGAAAACAGAGAGGGAGTAGCAGTTGCAGCCATGGTGGTAGAGTTATGGATCAAGGTGAGTTGAAATGGAGCGAAAATAGAGAAATGCGGACAACAATGAAAATTGTAGTGGGAAGTTGAGAATCGGAACATAAAGAAAAGCACTTTATAGAAAATGGTGGCTCACGAGAAAAGTTACCCCACAACTTCTCCTTTTGAATTCTCATCAATAACAACAAAAACAAGAGTTTTCAATATTAAAAATAGAGTTAAATATCTTTTTAGTTACTACAAATATTTCAACTTTTAAGTTTAATTTCTCAAAAAAAAAATTTAAATAAAGGTTCTAATAAAATTTTCCGTCCCTAAATATAGTCTCTTCCGTAAATTTTCATTAAAGGTGACTTATATGACATGCCAAGTGTCTTTTAATATTTTGTTACGCGTACCATTTTGTCACGGTGCAAATGCTGATGATAATGTTATGTACATAAGGAGATAGTGATACAAGACACAAAGAAGTTCAAGTTAATTTGTGCCCTAGCAGAAGGAGAAGAGAAGTCTTCGTATTGTCAACTAGTTGTGTTGTGGTCAAGGAATAAGGAAGCAGTTATCGCAATGTTCAAAGAGGATAGTCATTGTTTGTAGTGATCCCAAAGCCACATCATACGCATCGTTAGCAGTGGTCTCAAGTAACATACTTTGTCTCATCTCTGTTCCCTGTTTCCTAATGTATGTCATGTTCTTTTCTTTATAAGTGGTCTTGTGTTATTTAATTTGTTGTTTCAAAGTACGATCTGTAAATTAGGGTTAATATTGTATGTCATTTGTAATTTTTTATTTTCTATTGCATGCCATGTTAGTAAAAATCAGGGTTACTATGTTTGACCTAAATATGGTAAATTTTAATGTTACGTTTCTATTTTGTGTACAGGAAAATGGATAAGTTCAAGGTTATTTTTTACTTTAAGGGTTGTTTCGTAAAAGACACTCGCCTAAGATATGAGGGAGGGGATATATATGTTTTTAGTGCAGGGGAGGCCTAAGGGTTCTACAAACAAGAGCACAACTAGTGGTACAACAAAGGTCTAGGAATCAAAGAAAGCAAAGGTAATAGAGGCAAGTAACAAGAAGGAAAAGGTCACTGAGGCAACTGTCAAGGAAGGAACTTCAAATAAAGGAACAAAGGTCAAGGAAGCAACAAAGGTCAAGGAAACTATGGAGTAAATAATGTCTGACTCAACTGTGAAGGAAGGCAATGACAAGGTGCCAACTAAGCCAATGGAAACTGAAGAAACTGTCACTTAGCCAATTGAGCCTGAAGCAACTGTCACTGAGCCAATGCCTATGGATACTGGAGCAACTGGATCAACTCCCAAGAATGGTAATGTCAATTAGCCAATTTTGCCTATTGAAGTTGATCCTACTGTTAAAAACAAGCCTACACTTTATGCAAGTTTGGATTAAACATTGTCAAATGTGCAGGAACACACCTTTCAAACCACTTGGTATTAGAACAAATTTGTCTAGACCAAGTATTAGTGAATCAGTCAAATTTAAGACACAAAGTGATGTTGTGGCTGAAAAAGGCATAGTGAAAGGCTGAAGATGACAACAAGATTGGCAAGGGTTTAACATAGTGAAATGCATAGTGAAAGACATAGTATTTTGGTTTTATTTAATGTTAGGAACAATTATTCTGATGTTTTTTTATGAATGTACAATATAATGTACTGTACTAATCGGATGTAATGTACTTATGTGGTGTTTTGGAACAAATTATGATATGCTTATGTAATGTACTTTCCTACTATAAAAACTATTTTGGTATATTCTGTGTGAATTTTTATGTGTAAATTTATAGGTCACTTGTGGTTTCTTTTTGTTGTAATTTGTGTTATCCTTCTTGGCCATATTTATAGGTCCTTTTTTGGACAAAACTGAATCACATATTGTATGTAAAATTAGAAATATTAAAGGTCATAAAAGACACTGCTCTTTTCAATTCAAATCAAATTTCATAACAGTCAAACAATACTAAGCTATTACATCAATTTCTTGTTCATCCTAAATCAACATTGCAAAATCATTGAAGCTGTTTTACACCCAAACTAGATCAATTCAACAATTACACCTGATAATAAAATACTTGTTAAACAAAATTGAAACTATAACACAAACAGTCTTCAACTTCCATAAAATTCCTTTGCCTTAAGCTCTATCTTCAACCTCTTGTTCTTCTTCATTGATGATTCGTAAAGCTCCTTAAAAGTTTCTACAACTTGCATATCCCTCTCATTCTTGCTCCATTTTGCATCCACACATTGAACATCATCCTTCCCTTCTGAAATTCCATCATCCCAGATGAGCAAATTGAAAGTGCCTTCATTTTTCTAAAATGGACATCTCCAAAATAGTCTACCTTTATTATGTCCCTTCTTGCACATGTATGAAATCATCGGACCATTGCATCCACACCTTTTCACATCGCGGCAATGCAATAATACACACTTAACATGCCACATAAGCCACCATTAGTGTAAACTAACAGGAGGGACCATATCTATGGACAAAAAACTTTATGAGGACCGTTGTTTGAAGGAAAATTATCGAGGGACCAAACTTGAAAGTTAGGATATTTGTAGTTATACACATTTAACCCTTAAAAATGTCTAGAAAGTTGAATGGTTCAAGAACTAAATCGTGAATGATGTCGTTTTTATTAAAAGTAATTAAAACAATTTTTTGTATGTCTTAGAGTTGGAACATAGGAATATCTAAGATAACTCAACCTTATATCAAATTTGCACAATGTTGCAACTGCGAAAAACATCTGGCAAAAAAACAACAGAAGAGTCGCCACCAAACGTTATTTATCCCGATAGGGGAAAGAAAATGATCGAAGAAAACCTCAAAAAGGGAGAGGAAGGTATTAGCACCCCCTTGTGTCCGTTGTATTCAACGGGATCCACGCTTGTTGTCTAACCCGAGGGTGTGTTATCTAAAGCCTACTGCTAAACAAAAATGGAAATGGGAAAAAAAAAAAGGATACTCGATAGGATTTTGCCGTCATATACCTATATATTCTCTCGTGCAATGGGAAAGTCAGAGTCAACGTAGTTCGGAAGACGACGGGTGAAGGGGGAAGGTTGTTCGCTAAGACATCTTTTTCTTGTGCCTATGAATCCTCATTCGGACGAGAATGAAGAAGTCAGAGCAGTCATAGTCGATGTATGAGTTGATACGTGTTTTTTATGAGCAACGTTAAGTTCTCATTCCAGTAGTTATGGTCGATGTCTGTTTACGGTAGAACGAAAAAATAACGTACTTTTTTTGAAAACGAATTGACACACGATCCTGGAGGATGAAAATGATTTGAATTTGTTTGTGAGTTTTATAGAAGTGAATTGAATTAGATTTAGATTCACATTTCACTAAAGCCTATGATATAGGAGCGGATGTGTCGCATGATCACCCCCAGACGGGACGCACGTTAAACACTTTAGACGAAGTAAGGAGAGACTCATCACTCATCATTTCCCATATACTTAAGTTTCGTGATGTACAATGTTCATCGTATTTATTACGTATTTTGATGTTGTTTTGAGAAAGAAAGAAGAAAGACGCATAAAAGGTCTAAGGGGGAAATTGGCTCTAATGTTGTCATGCAAAATGGCCCTAAGGTCGGGATGCAAAAAGAAATTATATCCTAATGTTAGCATGCAAAAGATGGACCTAAGGTTGAGGTTAAAAAGGGACTATCCTAATATTTTCATGCATGGATCAACTTCTAATGTATAAGCTACTCCAAGCTTAATTAAAAATTAAGTCGGACTAGGAAGCCTTAAGGGAGCATGCGAGAACAAACCAAAACAAGGGAAACAAAACAAAAATAGCAGCTACGACGACACTTCAGTTTCATAATAGCAATAAAAACTCAGTAAGTAAGTAAGCAAGATAACATTTAACAACTCATGTTTTCGCACATAACAGGTGTAAAAAGCAGTAGGCAGAATGGATATCCAACTAACAGCATGCTAAAATCCAGTTGAGGCAGTATGTAAGCATTAACACTAAAGCAATACTTCAAGCAAGCAACGATCATCAACGAGCAAGCATATCACAATAAGCATGTATAGACAATTGAGCACAAACAAGTTCAACAATATTGCACAATTAAGCATTGCACAAGAATATCATGCAAATCAACCTCGATTAATCATTTCGAACAATCATATAGTTACAAAATTGGAAACAAACATAAGCATATGACACATATTCAACAAGATAAAAAACAGACAATCAACATTACACAAACGAATATGCAACATGATCATCACACCAAGAATGCAACAAAATAATCATAGATGTTCATCAATGAAAACCAAAATTTGTGCGTCGAAGAATCATGAGCATGCTATCAAGAACGATGCAACAGGTCAAAAACCAGTTCACATGTATGCATCATATCAACCCATGAGGTTTAAGGATGAAAAGGAACCATAACAAACTTGAAAATACAAGAAAAATCCCTTCTGTCATAGTGGTAATTGTTGTACCCCAAAATTTGCTCAACCTTTTTCTTTACCTGGTTTATGTTTCACTTACATTGTTCTAGCATTTGCATTGCATATCATATTTCATTATACAGGGGATCAAGTGATTTTTGCTTAGCACAACAGGCATCTCTTTCCTTTTTCTTCTTTGCATTTCCCATATGCATGCTTGGTTGAGATGAGCTTGTGGTGGCTACTGCCCCACACACATTTTCCTCCCACTTTCATTCTACTTGTGCATTTCATGTATGCATTCTTTCATTTACATGTTTCCTTTGTTCTTTCTTCTTCTTCTTTTGTCTTCCTTCCCTTAGGATTTCTAACCTCTCTTGTTCAAGAGAGGTTATGATAGACATTAGGTTTCTAACCATGCATGATAACATTAGGAAGGTGTCTCCCTTTTGTAATCTCAACTTTAGGTGCACTTTGCATGACAACTTCTAGGGTTTGAGCTAGTTCCCCCTTAGTTTGTCCTTTTCTCTTCTCATCTTCAAACAA